ATATCAATTGAGACTGATTATTGAAAATTACTGCATACATGATATACATCAAAAATAATTTCAGGGTGTTTGAAATAAAGATTTTAACATTTAATTCTGTGGACAAGATCATTTAATGGAATAAGCTGTCTAAGAAAATAAAACTATCTTTACTCATTATTCTTTAGACTTCTTTAAGGTCCAGAGATAATGATCAATCAATCAGCATTTATTAAGCTCCTACTATGTGCCAGGTATATAGACATAGAGAGTAGCACAAATATTCATTTGAAGCTGGTATAATTGTGATCATCCTTGCTTCCCAAATATCCAAATGATTGGAATTTGCTTTTCCTCCTTTACATGTAACATATTAAGGACCAACTTCTCAGTTTTGCTTGAAAATGTCAAAGAACTGATTTCATCAGCATGGGATGGTCCCTTCACCGAAGCAGACTACAACCCCAGCCAAGACTTTAACAAATCATCATCTGACAGGAACTCTGGTGATGAACGTCCTAAATTAGCTAGACCAGTCCTCAGCCTACAGTTTGTTATTTGACTCCTACTTGAAGCTTTTTTAGCATAGTAGGACCTGCCAGAACCTGGCCTTTCTAGGACAGCCTTCAAGAACACAAGGTTACCATCCTGCCACCTGGAGACACCTAAGGAGGATTTTTAAGAGATTTGAAAAAAAAAAGTTTTTCTTTTAACAAATTAAAATCTTTTCCAGTGTTATGAAAAGGAGCATAACATGTATTAAGCACCCACTGTATACATTTTGCTGGTTTGGGTACAATGATCAAATTAAACTTAAGGAAGAGAAATTCCCCGGCATCAATGATGAACACTGGCCAGGTGACCCTGGGAGCACTACTTAACTCTTGGTGCCCCCAAGCATGGTAGAGGGAATTTTCTCACTGGATACCCCCTACACAGAGGAGGTCCCTGGTCTGAGAACAGATCTCATAGGACCTCACAGTGAGGAACTTTATCAGCAATGCAGATTAGTTTTAGAGGGCTGCCTGGGGCACTTAGATACCCAATGACTTGTCCAGAGTCACACAGCCATGTGTGTCTGAGGCAGAACTGGAATCCAGGTCTTTCTGATGCTGAGATCATTTTATTTAGGACAAAATACATACATACATGCATGGACATATGTGTATAAAACATGATATATACATATGTGGTATAGGTATACACATATACATAATCCACACGTGTGTGTATGTGTGTGGAGAGAGAGAGAGAAGCACACAAACTCAATCAGATGCCCTCGAATATGGTGGTGGCAAAGAATTCAAAAGACATCCTTTGATTAGGAATCCTTATATGTGTGTTGTACTTTACCATTTTGAGACCACTTTCACCTACATGAGCTTATCTGATCACAAGCCTGTGAAACCTGAGACTCAGGTTAAGTGATTAGCTCAAAGGTCACCTGAGGTGGAGAAGTGGAGGAACAAGATTTAAAAGGACCGACCTCAGAACCACAGTCACAAAGTAAGTACCTTTCAGAGGTAGGATTCAAGCTGGTCGATCCTTATTCCAAATCCAACACTTTTCCCCACTCCAGTGAATTACACTGTCTGACTCTCATTCCTTAGTCCAGGCCTCAGTCATTTGCTGATGAATCTAGAGAGGCAGAGAATCTTAGAGCTGGGAAAGACCTTACAAGATAGGTCCAGTCCAGACCTTTTTTTTTTTTTTCAAAGGAGGAAAAAGCCACAGAAGCACCATATTCAGACATCTATTTAATGGTAGAGCTTGAATTGGAACCCCAAGCTCCTGGGCCCCACTCTTTGTAGTATCACTTAAACATTTACTAAGTACTTCATTCTTTTTGTCAGTCCTGACCAACATAGGCAAAGCCTTATTCTGTCTCTGTTATTTTGATCACGTCAACCCATTTTTTTTTTTGGCAAGGCAATTGGGGTTAAGTGACTTGCCCAGGGTCACACAGCTAGTAAGTGTCTAAGGCTGCATTTGAACTCAGGTCCTCCTAACTCCAGGGCCAGTGCTCTATGTACTGCGCCACCTAGCTGTCCCTTTCAACACAATTTCTGAGATGTTCCAGTGGCTTCCTTTCAACCTGAATATCAGGAACTATACTCTAAAGTTCCAGGTCCTTTTCTAGATCTCCTAAGCTTAGCTCATTTCCCTTATTTCCTGTTTTCTAATCCAGCAGCTAGATGGCACAAAACATAGAGTGTTGGACCTGGATGGAGTCACAAAAAGCCTAGGTCAAATGTGACCTCAGACATTTAATAGCTGGGTGGTCCAGAGCAAGTCACTTAACCTCTGTATGCCTCAATTTCCTCATCTGTAAAATGGGGAAATAATAGCATCCCTTATAATAGATCTCAGGATTGTTGTGAGGATCAAGTAAGATGATTTTTTTAAAGGGTTTAGCACACTGCCTGGAACACAGTAGGTGTTTAATAAATACTTGTTCCCCCTAGTCCACCCACTTCTGCAAATACTTGGCATATTGAGTGATCATTCATCTACTTTGCTCTTCTGAGCTTTCTCTCATGCCACACTCCAGGTCTGGACTGCCCTCACCAAATCCCTTACTTCCTGGAATAGAAACAGCTTCTAAAATCCCACGCGCTTCCCAAGAGTCTTCTTGAATAAGTGGAAAAAACATTTCTGATTCTATCCAACCCGCAACCACACTAGTGCATTATCAATAGAGGGTAAATGCTTTAGTTTTTTGCATAATGCAAATGCATCTTTCAATTTCTATTCCACTGTTAGTGCTTTCCTTGTTTTTTAATAGCAAGGAGAGTGATGTTCTTTTAGTTTATTTCAAGTAGCATCTAGCATGATACCATATACACATGGGGGCAAGCATCTTCTTGCTGGTTTGCGTTTTTGTAAGATAGGCAGTAATGACTATCTGTGGAAGTCGGCATATTCCACTCATCTTGATGAGTTATGGAAGTCTGTTCCTTGTCTCTAAACAGGACTTCCTTAAGAGAGGGAGGTGCCACAAGTCTTCTCTAGTTGTTGCCTGATCAGTAATCCATCTTCCTATCATGCAATTCTTTGAATACTGTTGTGTAGTTTTGAGCTAGTTACTTGATCTAGCCTCAGTATCCTCATCTGTAAAATGAAAGACTAGGAATGAGGTGTTTTAAGGTTTCTTGCAGCTCCAGAATACTATAATTTGGTTTATTTATGTGCTAACTACATGACTTTATCTGTGATCCAGATCAAAACTGAATTTTCCAATTTCATTTTCAATTTAAACCATTTTATTGAAAAGTTAACTACAGCAAATATGAAGTCATCAATGTTCGAAGCCCTATAAGGAGGATTGGCGTATCCCCTGCCATTTCTAGACAATTCTTCAACCACCATGCCTCAAAAACAAACAAACAAACAAAAAATCTTGGCTCTTTTGAGTGGTAGTACATGAAATACATGGAATCTGTGCCACCCTTTTCTTCATCTTTGTGGTTGCCATTTATGAGCCTCTGAATCACTTCCCCACATTCTCTATGACTAACACCTGGCTCACAGTCTTCTCCATACTATTCCCAGCCACCATCCTTAGGGACTTTATTATTCACACCAGTGAGACCTCCAACAACCTGATTATTCTATTCTTCCAAGTTCCTCAACGTTGACAACTTCATCTACCCACCTTAACCCCTCACTGTTACTCTCTCCCTTTGACTTGCTCTTTCAGAATTCCATGATCTTCGTGCTCTAGAGCTTCTAAAGACCGCTCTCTTACCACGACCTCCTATCCTTCCAGCTACTTACTCTCACTCATATGAAGCCTACTCCTCTTCATTCTTGTAGTGACCTCTAGTCTCTTTGCTTATGCTTATTCTCTTAGTCTGTCTTTCCCACTCTGACTTCCTTTGCCTCCAGACCCAGTTTTGAGGCCGTAGTTTGAGATTTAAATGTATCATTAGCTACTATTTGCAAATCTCTTTCATGCTCAGCCTGCAGATTCTCATTCCTGGGGACGACCTTCACAACGTCTGATCTCTTCGGTTCTGTTCCTGGGCTGCTGAACAAAATCACAAAAGCAAACTCATTTTTGTACACTCCATATTGACGGTGCTCACTACTGCCCCATAATCCTTCTACACTGTCTTTTCCTCCCACAGTGGCTGAAATCGCATCCAGCCACGGAAGATAACAGCCTCAATTCACTCATGACATTGAGGTTTTCTGACAGAAACTCCCTTCCCCCCCATCTCTCATTCTTCAAAATGTTTCATCAGCTCTCTCCTTCCATCTCATCCTAGAAGAAGACATTATCTCTACTCCTCACTAAGGTTAATTCTTGGTCTCTTGATCCTATTCTTTCTTCTCCAGAAGTCACCATTCTCCACCCCACCCCCACCCTGCCCCACCCATCTCTCTCATCTCTCTCAGGCATATTCAGTGTCTTTCTTAACACTGGCTTCTCCTCAAGGGGCAGCTAGGTGGTGCAGTGGAGAGAGCACTGGCCCTAAAGTTGGGAGGACCTGAGTTCAAATGTGGCCTCGGACCAAACACTTGACACTTACTAGCTGTGTGACCCTGGGCAAGTCACTTAACCCCAATTGCCTAAAAAAAAAAATACATTTAAGGGGCAGCTAGGTGGCACGATGGATAGAGCACCAGCCCTGAAGTCAGGAGTACCTGAGTTCAAATCCAGTCTCAGACTAAACACTTGACACACTTACTAGCTGTGTGACCCTGGGCAAGTCACTTAACCCCAACTGCCTAACCAAAAAAAGTCTTTGGATGTCTCCAATATTTTTTTAAGCCTTCCTTTCGACTTTGTACTTTTCCTTGACCTTTCTATTCCACCCAACTTCCATTTCATCTTATTTTTCCTCTTTACTGCTAAAATGTTTGGGGGGGGGCAAATATAATGCTTTAATTTTCCACAGGTTGAGCTATAAGTTTTATTTTTTATTTCATTTTTACATGATTTAAAAAAATTTACATAGCATATGCCTTAGTAATACAATGATCAAAAAATTCAGCTGTATCTCTTTTCCCAATAAATACTCCCCATATATTATTAGTAATGGTATTATCAACAGAATCCCATTCAAGTCAGTACATTGAATTTTTTTTTTTGTAACAAGGTGATGCAGTATATTTTCTCCATTCCTCTTTGGCAGTTTGGTTCAGTGACTGAGTTTTGATTCCATCCAAAGTAACTACAGAAGCTATACAGTATTCAGGACTATATCCGACAAGACTCATTCAGGGAATATATGAATCCAACTTTGTAGAAATAAAGATGGACCTAAATAATGAGAGAAATAATAGTTGTACATTGGTAGGTTAAGTCAATAGAATAAAAAAGACAATACTAACTACATTAGTTTGCTTATTCAGTGCTGTGCCAAACTCCCAAAAGAATATTGTATAGATCAAGGAAAAAATAATGAGAGTCATATGGAGGAACAAAAGGTCAAGAATTTCAATGGTAATAATGGAAGAAAAAAGTGGCAAATAAAGGGGATCTATCAGTACCAAATCTCAACCTGAATATTAAGCAGTAATCATTAAAAATAATTTGGTAGTAGCTTAAAAAAATAGCCAACCAGCGGGACAGTTAAGGTACACAATATACAGAAGCAAAAACTGTAGCATAACGTTCAATAAACAGAAGATCTCAGTTAACAAGGGAAGGACTCAATATTTGATAAAAACTCCTGGAAAAAATGGAAGGAAGTCTGCCAGGAACTAGGTATAGACCATCATATAATATGACAAGATAAGTTTAGAATGTATATACATGACTTCGAAGTTTACATCATAAGCAAATTATAAGGGCAAGTAAAAAATTCCCTTCCAGATCTTTGACTAGGGCTAGAGTTCATGATTAAACAAGCCATAGAGAGGATCACACAAGATGAAATGGATGCTATATAAAATTTAAAAGTTTTTGCACAAACAAATTTGGTGTAAAACTTTTAGAAGGGAAACAGGTCGCAGAAAAAAAAATTTGCAGCCAGTTTCTTTGATAAAGACCACATCTCCAAGATACACAAGAAACTGATTCAAATTTATAAGACTAAGCCATTCCCAAGAGATTAATGGTCAGAGGACATGAATAGACACTTTTTAATGGAAGAAATCCAAACTGTCAACAGCCATATGAAAAAAAAATGCTCAAAATCACTAATAAAAAATGCAAAATAAAGCAATTTCAAGGTTCTATTCACATTATCAGACTAGCAAAGATGACAAAATAGGAAAATGACAACTATTGGAGGGACTATGGGAAAACAGGTAGCACTGTGTACTGTTGGTCAGATTTTGAAATGTTCTAGCCATTCTGCAAAGTAATCCAGAACTATGCCCATAAAATTACTAAATTATGTATATCTTGTAACCCAGTTCTGCTGCTACTAGGCTTATATCCCAAAGAAATAAAAAAAAGAAGAAAAGAATCTATATGTACAAAAGTACTTAAAGCAGTTCTTTTTTTGGTATAATTTAATATTTTATTTTTCTCCCAATTACATGTAAAAACAATTTTTAACATTTGTTTTTAAAGTTTTTTGAGTTTCCAGTTCTTTGCCAACACTAAAAGAACAGCTATAACTATTTTCATACATATAGGCCCTTTTCCTTTTTTGTTTTTTCCATCTCTTTGGGATACAGACATAATTAGTGGTATCAGGTAGCAGCTCTTTTTGAGGCAATCAAATTTATTAGGGAATCTAATGGGTTCATGGCTCTGCCATTAATGAGCTGTGTAACCATAAGCAAGTCACTGAACCTCTCTAAGACATGGTTTTTTCATCAACGAAATGGGAAAATTAATATATGCATTACCTACAAGGTTATTATGAGACAAGAAAACCTTGTATCACTACACAAATTTACTATCTTGTCTTCCCTGATCTACCCATTCTACTAAATACTCTTTTTGTCAGGGGACAGCTAGGTGGTACAGGAGATAGAGCACCAGCCCTGAAGTCAGAAAGACCTGAGTTCAAATCCAGCCTCAGACCAAATGCTTGACACTTATTAGCTGTGTGACCTTGGGCAAGTCACTTAACCCTAATTGCCTAAAAAAGAAATAATAATAATAATAATAAAGGGCAGCTAGATGGCACAGTGGATAGAGCACCAGCCCTGGATTCAGGAGGACCTGAGTTCAAATCTGACCTCAGACACATAACACTTACTACCTGTGTGACCCTGGGAAAGTCACTTAACCCCATTGCCTAGCCAAAAAAATAAATAAAAATAAACAAATACTCTTTTTGCCCTTTGGCTTTAGAAATACAATACTTTCCTGATCCTTCTAACTCTCTAGTCATCTCTAGTCTTTCTTATGTCTATCCATTGGCTCTTCATCCATTTCTTTACCCCTTTAGATGGGTGCTCATTAAGAATCTCTGCCCTCAGTTCTCCTTTCTCTATACTTTTTTTTAGGTTAGTCTTTTTTTTTTTCCTGTAAATAGTATTTCTTTCCAATTACATGTAAAGATCATTTTCAACATTCGTTTTTACAAGATTCTGAGTTCCAAATTTTTCTCCCCCCTCCCCTCCTGCCTCCCCAAGACAGCAGGCAATCTGATAGAGGTTATACATGTGCAATCATGTTAAACACATTTCACATTAGTCATATTGTGAAAGAAGAAAGAGAACAAAAAGAAAAACCATGGGGAAAAAAACCCAAAACAAAAAAAAAGTGAAAATAGTGTGCTTTGATCTGCATTCAGACTCCATAGTTCTTCCTCTGGATGTGGGTAGCATTTTCTATTATGAATCTTCTGGAATTATGTTGGATCATTGTGTTGCTGAGAAGAGCTAAGCCTATCATAGTTGATCATTGCACAGTGTTGCTGTTGCTGTGTATTGTAATGATGTATCAATGGCATTGGTTGTAGATATTCTCCTGCTTCTGCTCACTTCAATCAGCATCAGTTCATCTATATCCTATCTTGACAAATGTATTCACTCTCACACCCTCAACTACCGTCTCTATTCAGATGACTTCAAAATCTCATCTCCAGTCTTGAATTCTATTATTCTGAGTTCCAAACCCATATCCTCAACTGCCTACAAGACATCTTCACCTAGGTGTTCTATTAGCACCTCTAATTGAACATATTCAAAGGCAAGCTTATTGTATTTTCCCTGAAACCTGCTCTCCTGTCTCATCTTTCTGTCCTTAGTAGTATCACCATTCGCTCGCTATCCCAATATTGAAAGGTTGAGGTTACCTTTGACCCATCTATCACCTCTCATGTCCAAGCAGTTGCCAACTGTTTTGGATTCCAGTTCCATAACACCTCTTGATCCTTCTCAACCTGTCTGTTCTCACTGCAAACATCCTAGAATAGGCTCTTTATTACCATGTGGTTGGACAGTAGAATCTTCCTGCTTATACTGCCCATCTCCAATCCATTCTTTATTCTGCCCTCATGTTAACCTTCTTAATATTTAGATTTGGTCATGTCACCTTGCTGCTCAAAAATCTTCCATGTTTCCTCACTGCCAGATAAAATTCAAAAGGCTTTGCCTAGTGTTTAAGATTCACCAGGATCTGGTAGCATCTTCACCTTTCCAGCTTCTCACTCACATTAATCCCCTCTACACAAACTAGATATTCTCTGCCTGAATCCTCCCTCAGACACTAGCCATGGAACCTTCAATAAGTCACTAACCTCCTTGAGTCTCAGTTTCTCCATCTCTAAAGTGGAGATCAAAAGCTTGTTGTGAGGGTCAAATGAGATAGTGTATACAAAGCATTAAGCAAATCTTAAATCAATATATAAATGTGGTCTATTGTTATTGACCCCCAGACAAGTTCAGCTTTTTTTTCTCCCTCTGAGCTTTAGCTCACATTGCTCATATTCCTCTTTGCCTATCAAATTCCAACCCATCATTTAAAGCCAAATTCAAATGCCACCTCCTCCAGGAAGCATTGTCTGATTGTCCGGTCAGAAATGACCTTTTCCAATGAATCTCACATGGCATTTTTGCAGTTTTCAAATGTTACATTCAGGTTCTTACAACTTGTTTAAGTTTTCCACCTATTAAACCACTGGTCACCCACCCCCATTTATCTATAGTGCTCTTCTACCCTCCCATCTAACCAACCAAGATTAATCCTGAGACATCATAGTAATACAAAAAATATTTACATAAAGTAAAATGCAAGATACATCACAAGGAATTAAAATCAAGCTGCCAACACTCTTAACATGCCATTCCCCAAACTACTCTATCTCTCCCTGAGAGGCTCTGTGTATCCCTACCCCTAAACATCACTTCTTAGCTCAGCAATATGAACAATGAAACAGGATCTGATGATTTGCCTAGTGGATAAATGCTAACATATTGATGCCTGGCACAGCGTTGTTCTTTGTCACCAGATTGTTGAGGCCCGCCAGGTCCTGAATAGAAGGGGGTAACGACTCGATGTTTACATAGGCCTGTCATATCATTATCCAAAAGTCTAGTACCTGCCCGATCTGGAGGAACCCTTATTAGTAGCAGCAGGAGATAAACAATGCTGAAATCTAACGCCAGCATGAATAGGGACAGTTCTTGATAGTACTATAAAGAGTTAGATGCAGCCCAGGTAAGCCTTACTTCCCTTTTCCTCCTCTCTCCTCTGGCTTTCATTTGAATCTCACATATTCCATCTCTGATGAGACTGTGCCCAACTTCTTATCAGACATACTGCAAATTCTATGCAACAGGAATCTGTGTTGGGGGGGCATCATCATCTGCTGTGCTTTACACAGTCTTGTGAGGGATGAAGTTCCCTTTAAACTTTGCACCACTTGAATACATTTATGTAATTTTGTTTATTATAATGATATTATATGTGGGTTATCAGGCTACCAGACTTGTAAGCCTTCTTCTTCCACGCCCCCCCCCACCACTTAGCACAGTGCTCTCAAAACTAACAAACAAAAAAGCTTAGTGTTTTGATTTGATGCTTGCAAAGCATACTGATAGAAGTAATAAACTACCAGGTAGAGAGAAACAAGGTAAGAATTCACCTACCACTTTTACAACAGACCCACTATAAAAGTGCAAGTTTATAGATGAATGGAACCTTATAAAATTCAAATTATCAGAGTGGTTTGAGTTTTGTATGATGAGATTTTTTCAACAGCTATCTAGAATAATAGAATTTTAAATCTGGAAAAGCAATTAGAAATCATTTAGTCCACCTCTCTTTCACTCCATTTTATACATGTAGGTGAGAAAAGTAATGGATTGAGTGCCAGCACTTGGAGTCAAGAAAACCTGAGTTTGAATCCTGCCTCAGAAACTTACTAGCTATGTTGAGTTGGCCCTGGTCAAATCACTTAACTTATTTTGGCTCAGTTTTTCCATTTGTTTTTCCATTTGTATAATAGGGCTAATAATAGCACCTACCCTTATAGGATTGTTGTGAAGATCAAATAAGATAATAATATATGTCAAGTGCTTTAGAAACCTTGAAGTTCTATATAAATCTTAGAAATTATATTGATGAAAAATTAAGTCCAATAGAGATCAAATAATTTGTTTAAGTAACTGATTCAATTTTAACAACTACAAAAAAGTGTGTGTGTGTGTGTGTGTGTGTGTGTGTGTGTGTGTGTGTGTGTGTGTGTGTGGTGGGGAGTGGAGGCAGAGGGTCTGGAGGGCTAAAAGCAATGGTGTGCTGATAAATGTTTAACAACCAGGTGAAGGAGAAATGCATTATTGAAATTTTCTCCATCACTTTCTCACAAAGTCTAGTTAATCCACAAAACAATTAATCACACTTGGGTTTGTAGACTTTGCTGATTTCTGAAGTGTAAATCCTCACACTGAATATGTAACAATCTACTCTGGCTGGCCCATTGGAACTGGCTCCAGCACAGCCCTAGAAAAGTCTCTATTCTCAAAAGGTCTTTAGAAAAAGAAAGTCAGACAGCTGTCTGGAATGTTGTGGTGCAGAGATTAGGAAACTCCAGCTGCAAATGCTAGTCACTGGAAGGGATTAAAAGATAATATTATCCTCTCTGACCATAGTCCTTACAAAGCAAAAAATAATTCCCACTTTTCATGGACCAACATAGTTATTCCATTTGGAGCAGAGCTTCCAAAGGGTTGATTCAATCCAGCAAATAATTATACATATATATTATGTGTACAAGAGACTATGGTAGGTACTGGAGATACAAAGACAAAAATGAAACTATCCCTGCCCTCAGGGAGCTTTCATTCCAATAAGTTGATAAGAGCTGATTATGAGCAGTGAATTCAAGTTAAGGAATTTTTGATTCCCACTTCACATCCCCCATTAGGGGATGTGTTGGCCATACACCTCAAGAATTTGGTTTGGAAAAAAAAAATAAAGGCTCAGGGTAAATAAATGTTGGCCCTAACTGTAACTTTAAAGAATTTTGGCAGCTTTAATATGTCAAAGAACAAACCTGTCAAACAGCATTTAATTGACTGTTTTCCCAAGACCAATTCAGTAGTCAGGATGAGATCAGTCTGGCCCTGAGGCACTCCAAGGCATACACCCCCAACAGCACTGCCTCAGCCAGAAGAGACTGGTTTCCAGGTCGTCCCCAGGCCTGAAAATTCCAAAGATAAGCCTTGCTCCCATCGCCCCCACAGGAATAGTCCAGGTTACTCTACAGAAGGCACAGAAGTGAATACTTGTCCTTTCTACCTTCACAGCCTACCTCCCATTCAACTCATTCTCTCTAGTCAGAGTCACCAGTCTAGTTCAAGTCCTAATCACCTTTCTCCTAGATTTTTGCAGTAGTTTTCCAATTGATCTCTCTGCCTCAAGTCTCTCCCTATTCCGATCTACTCACTTAGGTGCCAAAATTATTTTTGTTAAGTACGTGTCTGATGATGGCAGCATCTACTCAATAAACTCCTATGGCTTCCTATTACCTCCAAGATCAAGTAGAAAGCCATCTGGCATTTAAAGTACTTTACAACTTGGCCCCTTCCTACCTGGCTAGCCTTCATTTTTTCCCCTTAGTCTTCTAATGTTCTAGTCTTCTTATTCAATTTTCTCTACAATCCAACCCTACTTGGTCTTCCTCATATTGGACATGACATCTCCCATCTCTATGCCTTTGCCCTGGCTGATCCCCATGTCTAGAGTGCTTTCCCTCCTCACTTTTGACTTCATTTCCCTGACATCCTTCAAGATTTAGCTCTAATCCCACCTGTAGGAGGCCTTTCTTGTTTTTCCCAGCTGCTGATGCCTTCTAATCTAAGATGACTCTGTATGTATCTTATATCTACCTAGTTATTTTCATGTTAAGTCTCTCCTTTAGAATGTGAGCTACTTGAAAGCAGGGAGTATTTTCACCCTTCTCTATATCCCCAGCACTTAACAACGTGCCTGAAACTAATTAAGAGCTTAATAAATGCTTACTGATGAACCAGCTGACCTTGGCCCCATTTCTCCATTATGTTTTCCAAAACCTAGTGTCTAGGTAGAGAACATATCCTGTCTTCCACAGATCCAGAGGGCTAAGTATTGGGAGTGAGGGAAAAGCTAAATCCCCTAGATCCAGAGAAAGAGAGCAGAGAAATCCCTGAAACAACCAAATACAAACCTTAACCCATTTTTTGTTTCATCCAGAATGAAATTAGCCTTGGCAAGGCAGTGAGGACAATGACTAATCACCTCATTGGATGTTGAGTTTCTGTTCAGCTATCTGTATGCTCCAATTCAAAGGCCACATTTGGAAAATGTTACTCTGGAAATATAGTATACAGAAAGGAGTATGTTATATTTCCTTTTGTAAAGCCCATACCCTGCTCAGACCCCCAAAAGACATACTTACAACTAAAATATTAACTAATTTTGCTCTCAAATGATCAAGGGATTTAGAGCTAAAAGAAATGTTACATGTCAGTTAGTCTAACCTCATTTTACGGAGGAAGAAACTGAGACCCGGAGAGATAAAGTTACTTATCTACATACAGTAAGACAACTTTGTGAATTCTTTTTTTAAAAAAAAATGCATAACACCCTTCATGTTTTCAACAAAACAAAATAGGAAGAACATTGTACAGATTATCTTCTTATACTGGCAAATGTTTAACAACCAGCTCTCCAAATATATCCAAGACACATTTAAAATTTTATTTTGTATGGTTAATATTTTCTCCAACATTTTCCTAAGCCTAGACCAGAGGTGTCAAGCATGCAGAGGTGGCAGGCTTCTTGTGGCCAGTAAGACATAGATAATAATATGTTTTAAATCTAAATCAATATTTGGCCAGTAAGGATCCTTAGTTCAGTTTATTGACCTTTTCTATTTGAGCTCGAAGCTACTGGCCTAGATAATCAACAAAACAATAGATCAAGGCTCGATTTGTAGAGTTTACCAGTTGTAAGTTGTAAATGCTAACACTGGAAATATAACACTTGGCATAGCCCTGCTTCTAAACCTTCTGAAAACCTATCCCATTCTCTCTTAGAAATGTTATTATTGAAAAAGTCCATAAAAGAGATAGTTACTCTCTGAGCAACCAGTTGCATGCAGGGAATTCTTAGAGATTTCTGCTTTAGGAGACTATGTCTACTCCATTGACAATAGTGACTACACACCTGCAAGTCACTAGATAAATCACAGTTTCAGGCTGATCCCACAGCTAAGTAATGAAAGAATTACTTACATATAACCTCCATCCAACACATGCTGTGCAGATTGCCTTTTTCTTCCCCACAAAGAATAGTTGACCAATCCTGAAAATAAAGGTATTATTGCAAATAAAAAAAATTTGAAATATTTATATTTCACTTGTAATAATATTAGTTCTATACCACAATATTAATAAACCAGATTTCAAAAGTGTTTTTATACCAGTACTGAAGTTCTAAAACATTTTTAATTCCTCTCAAGTGTGAAAAACTGAATGAAGAAGAAATAAGCAATGAGATTCCTTAACAAAATCTTTTGAGAAATCTGAGATTAGGTTCCTTTGCTGCTACTCTAGAAAGGTCTCAAGAGGTGGAAGGTGTGAATTGTGAGGTAGAAAGAGTCCTCAATTGGGAATCAGAGGACCTGGGATTGAATTTAGACTCTGCAATGTACTATTGGTGTGATTTGGGGGCTTTAGTTTCTTCTAGTGAGTTAGATTAGACAACCTCTAATATCCCTCCTTGTTCCAAATCAATGAAACTATTAGTTAATATGTCTTGGTGGTGAAATTAATTGGTGGCTCAGAAGAGGTGCTGGTGCCTGCTGACAAGCCAGCCTGCTGCCCTGGCTCTTCTCTCTGTCTAGCGAACTCAATGTTTTTCATCGTAATGATGAGCACTTAACCTCTACATTCAATTTAATAAGTATTGTGTCAGGTACTGGGAAATTTTTTTTCTTTGTGGAAGGAAGTCTGGACCTATTATTTCATCTGTGTAGGGAACTCCCAGGAAGAAAACTCCCTCTACCAATACAGATTGACAACTGTTCCGTATCATCTTTGACTGCTACCTGTGGCACTAAGAAGCAACCTTGCCCATGGTCACAAAGCCAGTATGTGTCATAGATGACACTGGAACCTATGTGGTCCTGATCCACATAGAGGCAGGCTCTCTGTTTGCCATATCACTCTGCTTCTGGCTGTTGTATATGCAAAGACAAAAAAGTGAAAATAATTCCTGCCCATATGGAGCTTACGTTCTACTCGAATGCTCCTGCAGACATTTCAGTTTCCATAAACATCTTAACCCAGAATTCAAACCCTGACATAAAGGCAAGACTGGCTATGTTAGGAAACATCCTGATTTCATCGAAAAAAAGTCAAGGAAACAATTTGAGTGAGCTACTGCAGGAAGTGAAAGCCAAGAGCTTGACTAATGCATTCAAACTAATAAAGGAAACATTTCTTCCTTTCCCCTCAGGGTTCCATTACATCGCTACATTTAGACAAAAACATCAGTTTGCACAAGGTAGAATCAGCCTGTAGAGTTTCCCAGACAGAACGATGGGCCATTTAATCCAGTCCTACGGCAAGATTGCTTAGGGGCTTGATAATCAGAAAAGGACCTTAGGGTCAGGAAGCAAATTTTCCCTTGCAGAAGTGGGGAATTAATAGCTAGGAATACAGTAGCCTTTTCTAGGAGGAGCTTTCTTGTTGGATGGGTAAAATTTGAAATGTCTATGACCTGAACTCCCCACTGGAAAAACTATGCTTCCAGTTCCAACTCTTTGTATCACCAAGTAGGACTTGCCATTTGGATTTCCAGGAGCAAATTTTCCTACTTAATCTAAACACTTTCCTTTTACATAAGCAGAAAAAACTCTGATATCCAAGGAAGGGTAGAACCCAGAAAAGCAAGAACCAAGTAATATATATGTTATTTGGCCTTAACAAACTCAGCACATTACACATAACTTGACCTGATGATTTTACAGTACTAATAATATTAATTTGGGATTTAATTCTATATATTTTTCTGCTATGCCACTGGTAATAATAAGAGCAACTTATGCTTCAAGGATCTGTAGTTTCATTGGTGTGATTAGGTTCTCCCCAGTTGCAGATCACAACCCCTCCATTAAGTGGTTGTGAAGAGCTGATGAAGCCAAAAAAAAAAAAATCTCTCATCTTGCAGTCAGTCTGGCAGGGAGCCTGTCCAAACTTACCTAGGCTAGTTCTTGGACAACAGACATCACCGGGCCAATATTCAAAGCCTTTCCAGCTTGCTGTGACCTGCCAGAGCTTGAGTTCTGTTGGCATAGCCTTTGAAAAACTAGGGTCTTTTCCATGTCATGATGATGAATCAGGGACAGTATGGAGTAGTGAATAAAGTGTTGGACCTGGAGTTAGGAAGACCAGGGTTCAGTTTCCACCTTAGATACTTATTAGCTGTGTAACTCTGGCAAGTCACCTAAATTTTCTGTGCCAGAACTCAAAGTTGCCCATGGTCACATAGCTAAGAATATCAGAAACAGTATTTGAACCAAGGTCACCTGATGCTCAGAGCAGAATTCTTTCCTCTGTATCACATTGCCTCTCTGATGGTAGTAACTATGAGAATCCCAAATGATCCCTGTGTCCTGCTGAATTATGGGAAGTAAAGATTAGAGATCATTCCGATAAAAGCATTGCCCCATGGCACAGAGTTAAGAGAAAGTAAGCTATGTTTATTTTTTAATGAATTAAAGCTTCTAATTCCAATAACATTTGAATTTGTTCAGTACAACATTTACTTTACACTCAGTCTCGTGATATTGGTTTAAATGGCCAAGAAATCCTATATAATCAGTCAAAGTAAAGAAAATTTCCTTGTTACTATGAACCCAGCTACAGAGGGAATGTTGCCATTTCCCACAACATCTGTTTTTTGCTCACAGCCTGAACTGCTGATTGGGTAAGCACAGCTCCTGCTCCAGAATTGGGGGAAAACAATTAAAATGACTAATCTCATAGGATTTGTATTAGTTGTACAATGTCAAGGGCAGAGCCATAGCCCCCAAGGTCAATTAGGGCCTCTTGGGACAAAGTCCCCGGTTAGGCTTTGGGTCTGGCAGAAGAGTTTGTATATTCAGCTGAAGACTTGGGTCACTGGGTCATACAATCAGAGTTGGAAAGGATGTTACTCTTCATCTCGAGGGGTGGGGAACCTGTGGCCTCAAGGCCACATGTGTCCCTCTAGGTCCTTAAGTGCAGCCCTTCAACTGATTGGACCACATTTGAGGACCTAGAGGGGCACATATGGCCTCAAGGCCTCAGGTTCCCCACCCTTGGTCTAGCCCATGCCAGTTCAGAAACCCTTTCACAAGCAAGCCCATTTAATTGTTGGACAGCTCCAATGCTCCACTTCTTCAGCCACCTCCCACCCCATACACAAAATGTCTATTCCTACCTCCACACCTATTTAAAGAGAGCAATTTGCGCCTCTTCCCCCAACTATCTCTTCATGGGCCCAGTTTTCTCACATAGATTTCAGGCTGGAAGGGACCTTAGCAAGCATCCAGTTCAGTCTTCTGATTTTACAGATGAGGAACCTGTTGTGATTTCTAGACCTCTCACAGTATTGTCCGCTCTCTTCGAGATGTATCTGACCATCCAGCCAGGGCAAATCAAAATTTACAAACTTCCCTGGGACACTAGCCAGAGAAGTCTGATTTATTCTGGGATATCAAGTTAAACCCTTTCTTAGAGCTCCTGGTTACATCACTCACAAATTTGGTCTCACCTGTTGGAAAATAAAAAAGGAACTATTCAGAAACTTGAAGATTCACATACCCAGGTTTGTCATGACTACTGCTGACTTTGGTTTTTGATGTCTGTTTTAATGTAATCTGTTTCATAATAGGAACCAACCATCTTATTGATGCCTGCCAATCCAAAAGCCACATCCAAAAGCATCATGTAATCAGGGAACTAAAAAATTAATTATGACTGATGTGTGTACTTTCTTTGTAATCTTCATAGAATTCTGAATATCTCTCTTTAAAAAAAAAAAAGTTCCCTAGACCTCATTAATACTGACCTACAAGCCTAATTATTAGGGCATAGAGACCTCTGCTGGATCCCACTGGGTATTACAGATATTCAACTTAGACCTTTTAGGCTCATAAAATTTAGAGAAGAGGCCTTAGAAATCATCTAATATAACACCCTTATTCTATAGGTGGAGAAACTGAGGCCAATAGAGGGGAAGTGACCTATTTAAGGTCACACACATAGTAAGTAGGAAAGTCATTCATTGAACTGGGGCACATTTACATAGAACTGGAAGGTTGCAAAGCACCTTACATAATGTACATCATTTCATATGATCCTCCTAAAAGTCTAGTGAGGTAGGTATTAGTATTATCACTGTTTTACAGACAAGGAAATGGGGGCTTGTGGGTATTAAATGACTTGCCCGGGATCACTTATCTAGTAAGTGTCTGAGACAAGATTCAAACCCAGAACTTCCTGGCTCTTCAGTCCAGTGTATTATGTTAAATTCCTCTCAAACCTAGCATACATATCACTACTTACTAAACCACCTTAATGCTACATTATCCTAACTTCCTCTCAGACCTAGTACCCTTTCCACTACTTACTATACTGCCTTAAGGACTTGCTAACAATTAGGAAAGAGCTTTAACTGGAAAATCCACCTGGCAAACTCATACTTGAAGCTGAAGTAGGGTTTAAGATCAATGTTATAGGTTTCCTGCTTTTTTCCTTCCTCCAACTTTTCAGTCATCCTAATGAGTTAGTCTGGAGGCGCTTGTTCATTAAGATTAAACAAATCTCATGCTTCAGAAACCTTTCCTTGATCCAGAGGGGGATCATCCCCATGTACTGCTAGCCTTCTAACAATACGTGTCTTTGCTCAACAATTTCTTTTTCCTCCACTACTGTAATGGGGCCTTTGAGACCACACCAATGCCCTGAGCATCATTCTATGTAAGGATCTATATATGGATGCCTGGTAAGTCTTATTTCTCACACTTAGATGTTCTCTTCTCAAGGACCAGATCTGCATCTCCCTGCTATTTGATAACAGCATAGCCCTGTAGCAGTATACCACCTGTGTGGACACTCAGCAAATGATTTTGGATGATAATAATAATAATGATGATTCTTTTATATGAGAAGTTTAGAAAGAGGCAGTTTAGTGATTTCTCATTCTCGTTGGCCACAAGAATTTCATCCTTATCTTCTCTAAAATGAAAGTGCTTTTCTTAGGAGCAGAGTACCTTCAGGCAGACAAGGACTTTCAAGGCCATCTA